TATACATTTGTAATTTATATCAATAAATATTAACATCGTTTCAATAGCATGTAGTTCATAATATTTAACATTCACAATTCTCAATTAACCAAGATACAATTATTATGCTATGACAATGCAATAGACAAGGACACTCCTAAACTATATGCATGTGACACTAGTAAAAAGATTATAAAATGTTGCCCAAAGTTCAAATAAGAGTAGCCTAGGAGAACATATTGGGTCACAACCATCACAACATACTACACTAGGAGAATATACATTAGGATGCGTTAGGATAATAATGTTGCGCAAGTTACACCCTATGCACACAATGGGCAGAATTGAGGTTCCCAAAACCTAGTTATCCCCAAGGTCATGAATCCCTAGTTTTTACATAAGGGGGACCTTCCTTGGTGGCATATTCCATATTGTACCCATTTAAAAATCAATTTATGCACATAATGCATACCATATAGAACTCTTGTGCAATTTCATGTTCAACACAATTCATCAATTATACTCATATATACTTATTCATCATTGTATTTATACACAACATTAAGCATAATCGGCTAGGACATTCTTAACCAAACTTTCACACATGTAAGTTAAACTTAGACTTCCATTCATATGATCATCACATGGTCCACACATAACCCATCGCAACCGGCTAGACAATTCTCAACCAAACTTTCACACAGGAAGTTAAACTTAGAGTTCCATTCATACGACCATCACAAGGTCCACACACAAATTATCATATGTTCTATCACATCATTAACAGATTGATCACACAACTGGATTCTTACAAAAAATATACATTTGTTAAATGATCATTTTCTCCCAACATGATTCATAAAATAACTCTAATACAATTCATACATAGGATGATAAGGGACACCCTACACCCAATGTATTCCAAACAGAGAACACACTTCACTCTCTAGAAGGGTCACACCTACCGCAACCCTTTCGCGCCTAGTGAATTTACAAAAGAGAGCCCCTTAGAACTCTCTCGCCTGATGTGAAATCTTTTATGTGTAGCTTCAAAATCACAAAGAACATTTTGTGGATTTCACACCTGATGTGATTCTTCTCACGCTCGACATGAACGTCACAAAGAGCAACCCATGCTCTCTATCATGCTTGTGCTTGGCAACCACACATGGCACCTAGCATCGCATTTGTACAGACGTTGCTACAACAAATCATGAATTTACACAATCTTGATCAACATATACATTTGCAAATTCAATCAGTAAAGTTGTACATAAACACATGAATATTCAATTCTATCCTATCAATTTGCCTACTTCTTATCGTTACTCCTATTAATTTGGTTTATTCCATTTTTAAGGTTCCCTTGGGAACTCACAAGCAAACATAAATTCACAATTACATAGATTATAATAGACATTACAAACATGACTAAATAGTGTTGAATCATGCCTTAATGTGTTTTAATAATAGCAAACTATTAGTTTCAAGTTTTAATATGGAAGAGTTATCATGTGGAGTACTAATAATTTTGTTCAAGTGTTTTAAAATTGTTTTGTTTAGTATTCAGAAGGATGACAAAGTATTGCAACTAAGAAGCTTTAACAGATAGCATTTGATCTTATTGAATTGAGTTGTAACAACAAGGTCTTGGCTGTTTAATGAGCACTTAGTGTTTACTGATCAAAGAAGTTCTAGATAAACATTTCCTCTCAAGGGAAATGCCTTGAAGACTTGGCTTAGGAGACCAATTCTTTAAACCATTCATCATAAGGTTTCAGTTAAAACTGGACTTCTTAGAAGATTGGTACTGAAGTCTCTGCTCAGAAGTTTTGAATAAAAAGTTTGCTTAGAAGGTAACAACATCTATAGAAAAAGCTGAAAATAGCAAAAAAAGAAAGTATAGTTGAGGTCAACACTGCTTAAAAATTAAGCTACCTATAATGAATCTATTTTGTTGGCTATAAAAGGAAGATTGTTGGATCGAATGCTTACTACTAGGTCAAAAGCTATAGTTGTTAGTCATGATACAACTCTTTATACTTAATCATAACAACTCAGGTGCCACGTGTCAAATGTAACTTGACCCACCTAGGCCTCCACCATGGTGCACTTGATGTCACCTAACAAATAATCTCCCCTTCAGTAATTGCTTCTGTTAGGAATCGAGCATGTGACCTTGGCTCTAATACTGATTGTTGGATTGAGTGCTTACCATTATGTCAAAAGTTATAGTTTTTAGTCACGGTACATCTCTTTCTACTTAACCATAGCAACCCAAGCACTACGTGTTGATAGTGACTTGACCCACCTAGGCCTTGAGACAATTAATGCCACCCAGGCCTTGTAAGAGAAGCTCTTTCAAGTAGGTACTACCTTTCACTACTTCCCATCTCAGGATCTTTTCTTTAAGTAGTGTTAGATGCTCAACCTTTTCAAAGATTGAGCTTTGATACCAAATTATGGAGGAAAGAGAGACAATAAAAGTAGGGTTGAATAGTGTCAGTCATATAATTCACAAAGACCAAGGCTACAAATTTTAAGCAAGCAAGATCAAAGAGGTGCAAATTACACATACAAAACACATATTCGATTAATATCCTCAAACAATCACTAATGCATTCCCTTAGGGTTCTCATAGGAACCCATAGGGTAATTTAAGATTCAAAATTTCATACCCAAACATGAAATTAGAGGCATCGACATTTACATAAGTAACATAACATCAATAAGCAACAAAGAAGACAAAGACTCTTTTGGGAAGACCCCTCACATTAAAATAATAATAGAGACAAAATTGGGGTCAACCGCATCACCCAATATACCCTATGCCTAGAGTGAGACTACTCACTCTTCCTCTTACCTTGATGAATGTTAGAAGATGGACGTGGATCTCTAGAGTGTTCTCCTACCATTTCTGGTTATCCAAAGTCTTTAGAGAGCAAGTGTACATAAAAATAGTAAAAAAGCGTAAAAATAAAAACTGATCAAAAAACTTCTTTTAAAAACTTTAACTCTCTCTTAACTCCACAGCTAAAACAATTGACTGAAATTACAATTTTCTCCCCTCAAAATAATTAAATAAATAAATATTTTAATAATAAAATTTTATAATATATCCATATAAGTATAAAAGAATTAAAAAAATTATCAAAACCAACCCAAATATTTTAAAAAATACAATAATTAATAATTAACATAAATGTAAGTTTAATAATAAAAATTGGGGTGTTAAAAAAAAGGGATTTAGTTTTTAAATTTGATCTAGAAAAGGCCTATGGCCGAATTGAGAGAGTTTCTACACCACACCCTTATTACCAACAAAAAAAAAATCAATTGATTACTATTTTGTTTTTATGTGTATGCATTTTGAGAAAATTAAAATCAGAAACAACTTATTATAAAACGAAAAGTTTAATTGATTACTATTTTGTTTTTACGTGTATTACTATTCATTTCTTCATTGTATTGCAAAAAATAAAATAAAAAGATGTTAGACATATTTTTTTATTTCTTCTCACATTCATCTAAATCATATAATTATATAATAAAAGGGATTATCCCATTTGATTTACACAATTTTTAAAAAATAATTTTCTTTAAATTTTTAAATAATAAAAAATATTATTAAAAATTAATTATTTTTATAAAAATAAGATTTAAACTTAAAATCTTTAAATTTAAAAATCATAACCAATACTAATTAATTTATTAAAATATTAATAATTTTTAAACATTTTTATTAAATAAATATTTTGGACTCCTCTTCTCTCCTCTCTTTTTTCCTAGAACAAACGGAATGTATGTATGTCTTTGTTTTTTTTTCCTTTTGGGGGAAAGGGCATAAGAGGAACAAGTTAACAAATACTGTCTGGAGTTCGAAAGCTTGAGCGCTTGACAACAAAACAATACATTAATTGTGGACTCACATAAAGTACTCACTCACTCTAAAATCCACAAACTTAAAAGTAATTTAATTATATATACGAGGAGAGATTGGTTTATTCGAGGAGTAAATTTATATAAATTTATTTTATTTAATAATTCATGTTTTATATCAAATTTCAATGATCTAACCATTAGATTTAAAGTTCATAATTTACAAATCAAATCTGTAAATTTAAAAATTATTTAATACTTCATTTCATTAATTCAAAATTGAATTAATGAAAAAATTATTTTTAATTTATTTTGAATTAATAAAAATAATTTTTAAAATTTTAAAAAATTTGCAGATTTGATCTGTTTATTAAGAACTTTAAATTTAATAGTTAAATCATTGAGATTTGATATAAAACATGAATTATTGAATGAAGTAAGTTTATCTAGACATACTTCTAGAGTAAACGAATTACTCCCTATATATATATATAAATATATATAATTTAAACGAGAAATTCTAATAAAATAATTTAATTTTTTTTTAAATTTTAAATATTTTAGAGTGAAATGTTTTGTTTATACTAAAAGTTTATAAAGAATTTGAAATATAAATATTAGTAAAATTCTTTAAAATCACAGAATTTCAAATTTTTAAAAAAGTAAGAATTTTAATTTTTTTCTTCTACTTCTATTTCTTCTTTTTTAAAGTCCACTTAAAAATATCTATATTTTTTTAATTATTGAATATTTTTAATTATTAAATATTTACTAATATTTAATTTTATGAAATTTAATCTTAATATATATATATATATATATATTTATTCATGATAAAAATAAAATTATTCTATTTAAACTATATGAATTTAAAATTTTTAAAATTAAATTAATTTTTTTAAAAAAATATTAAAAAAAAATGATAGAAACTGGAATAAAATAATTGGAAATTTAAAACTTCTCCCAAAAGACATATTAGTATACTCCTTCAACAACGGTCACTTTCTTTAATCGATAGAAGGTAACCCGTCCTCCCACAGTCCCACTCCCACCCTTGGATCTTCCTTACAAGGCAACCTATTACCTATCCCACCGGTCACCCGTTGGTCACAACATCCCATCCCTCACCCAAACACAAGACAACACACACACCCTTATATATTTTCCCACACCTTAAAAAAAAATCCACTCTTCGGCAACTCACGAACCCCACATCCTCGTAACAATGTCCGACTCCGAAACCACACCCGAAAATTCCTCCGCGCCGCCGCACCCCGACACCGCCGTCTCCTTCAGCATTTGGCCCCCCGCTCAGCGCACCCGCGACGCCGTCATCAACCGCCTCGTGGAGACCCTCTCCGCCCCCTCCGTCCTCTCCAAGCGCTACGGCACTCTCTCCTCCGACGAAGCCTCCGCCGCCGCCCGCCAGATCGAGGGCGAGGCCTTCTCCGCCGCCGCTGCCTCCGCCAACGCCTCCACCGAAGGCGTGGAGACGCTCCAGCTCTACTCCAAGGAGATCAGCAAGCGCATGCTCGAAACCGTCAAGGCCAGAGCTCCGCCCGGTACCGCCGCCGCAGAGGGCGTCTCCGCCGCCGTCTCCGACGACCTTTAATGTATGTTTTGGGAGATTGTAGAATTGGAGAGATCTTATTTTACCTTGTAATTTGGGTGAAAAAACTGTTTCTTTTCTATCTAACTTGGTTGTCTCTTTTGTGTGCGCCTAGGCTTTTGTTGCATCCAATGGTGGTAATAACAGAAAGCATGAGACTTAGATACACTTCCATGGAACTTTAGTTACTAAAAGTACTTGAGAAACTGCATTCAAAAGTTTTGTCTTATTTTATTTTATTCTCAATTATGTGGTGTTTGCGTGTTGGGTGTTTCGGCTTCAGTGATGCATTTGCATGCTATTTCGTGTTTGTGTTATGAATTGAACTTGCTGGATTTTGTGCGTGATTGAAATGGTTAGTAATAGTTAGATGGAAGATGGTGATGTTGGTTTCTCTCTTATGTGCCAATTGAGTTTTATTCTGATCGCTTGTAGGTAGTCTTTTAGAATTTAGATACCCCACTACTTAGGAGACAATGTAGATTGGTTGATTTTTTTTATTTATTTTTTATTTCTGCAAAAATACTGTTTCCTTGAAGGTTGAAACTTTCCTCGGCAGAATTTTCAGTCATATAGGAAGAGTCTAATTTTGATACAATGTAAATTATCAGTACGAGCCATCAAGATAATTTTCTAACTTTTAAAAGTAATTATTATAAAATTTAATGAATTTCATAAAATTCTGAATTTCGTTGATATGTTTGATTGACAATGTAGAGATGAGTATATTCTAATATATATATATATATATATAT